GGTTCTCGGTATCTACTTGACCGTGCAGAAGGCACGACATTCCTCATGGGCTCACCTGTTCTTTGATGTCTTGGTCACGATTGACAGGCCAGCGCAAAGCTACCTGAGGTCCTGGTACGTTGGAAAGAGAGATGGTCGCCTGGTGATAAAAGCGGTGTTGTGTGGTGTGGAACGCTGAGACAGCTTCACCTTGTCAGAGGTGAGTCCCCACAAGGGCTTGGCGATGAGGTAAGGGAGAGAACCGAACGCAGCCAGTATTCGGTTGGCTACATAGGGCTCTGGAGAGCCTATCAACTCCCGAATACGTCGATGGACTGAGAGATCAATGCGTTGACATCGGGACACCAGGCCAGACGTGAAGAAGTACTCACCAGCTCCGACTTGCTCGGCAATGGGAGTTACCTTGACAGGGACTTTGAGATAACACACACCAAGCTTCTCATTCCCCCATCTCGACTCCATAGGCGCGAATTTGAATGGCGAACCCGAATTCAATGCGACCCACATAGCGGCTGTGAACTCGTCTGGGGTCTGAATGGAAAAGACCCCAAGGCTTAATGAGCTGCCCAATGGGGCGCTTCGTACTGGCCCTCCTTTTCCGCGATTTTCCTCACAATACCGAGCGAGGGTCCGGTAAACAGCCGCAATGAGTATCTGAAGACCCAGTAGAAATAGTAGGCCCCAAGCAATCCACGTACATCATTGACAGTTGTCTTCTGTGGGTGACCTTCTGAGGCGCGTCTTGCAAGATTTTTGATTTCCCCCACGGAAAATTCCTCGCCAAGTCCGGTGAAGGAGCAAACCCTAAAATCAAGTCACTTGAAACTGAAATTTCTCAGTGGTCCGCTGTCGAGCGGCGTCGCAACTACAGCTAGTGCGGCAGCGCTACCTTTTGGAGTTCTTCCGCGCACGATAGTTCGGCTTGCATGGATTGGGAGGGTCCTTTGATAGAAATACTATCTTCAAAACTGCTCGAAATAGTTTAAGTACACTCTCACTCACAGACATCAGTTTGCCCTACAATAACCAGACATGGATCGATCGAGGCTCCACAAGACTTACCCTGGCTGAAACATTGCGGGTGGTACCGAAGATCTCTTCCATACTCTTCGTCTCATCTACTGGTGTGCAACGGGAGACAACCTGACTACGGCAATATAATGAAGCAGGTTTTCTCTTCACCGACATGTCGCATAGCCGTAAAACCATCAGCGATCGAATGATGGTACCTGACGAACACACCGGTAGCAGCATACGCCAAATCCGTTCGCCTACTTCCAGACGAATGCACTGGTGATGATATCGCTATCTCGTGGTTTGTAATTCTGGATAAATACAACTCGCCAGAGCGGGTTACTGAATGACCGTAAGACCCCAGAGGGCTCAGCCGGCGGCCCTACTTGGTGGGAAGAGGGGTCGAGCACATTTCCCCGAGCATTTTTTCAAAATCCTCATGAGTCATTTGTTCCTCCACACAGCTTATGTTGTCCATTGGTTTCCAGTCCTCGGGAGCATCAGTCCAGTACATGCGGCCTTCTGAACAGATCACGTTGAAATGTAGTTGTTTCACTTGAGGTCCTTATCTACCATCACTATGCACCAAGCGTTGTGCAAATCTTCCTTCTCTCCCATAAATACGTATAAACTGTTCGGCGAAGCCAGAAAAGTCGACCTAAGACTTGAGGTGGTCACGACACGATTCGGTCTATAACATGGGGAAGTATAGCTGCCACGTTGTGACGATAGAGTCTAACGGTGGTGCTTTAGTTACCTTCTCTTGAAAAATTATAGACGCATGAACGAATAAAATTGCTTCTTCCATATCGTCT